TTCGATTATTCTTGTATTACTCTTTCTAAAAAAATATAGAATAATTATATTACGAGATATCAATTATAAAAGAAATTCTTTCGTCATTATTAATTTTGATATTAGATTCTTTTAATTATGATAAAGTATTTTTGTATTCGCATGTTATCCTGTTATTCGAATTTCATATTGATATTTATATTTCAGCTGAACTAATCATCACAATTTAGTATAAAGTTAAATAAATTGTAAGTTTAATTTTGTAACTATCGAAATAAAACTAAAAATACAATTAAAGAGTATGAAAATGCAATAAAATTATAAGAAAATATATGACATTGGCTTACCTAGAATCATAGACATTAATAAACAAAAATATGATATTGAAAGTGGCAGAAAAAGAATAAAATCAATTTTGTTAATTTCCAGAATAAATAAAATTCGAGATTGTTTTATTATTCAGATATTTCTTTTCTCTGTTATCAAGGATACGAAAGATTCTATTGCAATAAATTATTTTACGAGAGAAATCTATATTTATACATAGAATTTAATGAAATAATTTATGAGAATCGAAATAGATTTAATTTATTTTATGCACAAGAGAACATTTTCTCTTCCGGAGAAAATTAATAAGAAGAAAAAATAATAAGAAGAAGATTGGATCCAAGTTTCTATTTTTATTAATTTTCAGTTATTGTAGTAATAATAATTTTTAATAAATAAAAATAATTAATAAAATGTGAGAGATTAAAAAATGATTCTCTTGAAGCATGTTTATCTAATTTTGTAAAAGACATTTTAAATCCACTTTTTTTTTATTCTATTAATATATTCCAAGCTGATGTAAATTTACAGAAATATATAAGAAAATGAAACTATAAATGAATTTAAAAATCTCGTTCAGAGTTTCTTTTTTTCTTTTATGAAATATAATATTTTATATATGGTTCTTCTTATTATAATTTTTTTTTATTACGTATCTTTATTTTAAGTGATTAAAATTTATTAATTGTTACGAGTACGATTTAAAAAAATTTTAAAAGAACCTTGTGACAATCAAGTTTTATTTTTTGAATAAATTACTTTCTACGAAACTATTAATTTTAAGATAATTAAATAACTCGTATTTGAATTTAATCAAAGAATTAATTAAATCGATCGATTTTATCGGTTATTCCTCAAATGATTTAATCAAATTTCTTTTCACTTTCTTTCGCGAATTATCTCAATAAAGAAAAAAAAAAAATAATTGGAGAATTAAATTGAAATATTGTTTTACAATATTTATCAATCATTCTTACCAATTAAAAGAAAACGAAATTAAAATCTCGATTCACATTATCCCGAACATAATTTAAAAAAACTAATTAAATCTATCATATTAATAATTTTAATAAAAATAAGAATATTTATATCAAAATATCGTCGAATTACCATTTAAATACTTGAATTAAAAAAAGAGAAAATCGATTAAAATCTAATTTGATTTACAACCTGATCGAACAACCTTATTTTTACGTTCGAGTTTCCCCCCTTTCAATACTTTATACTCAATGACTGAAGTCCCTTTTATAAAACCTCCACCGTACTCGACGATCAATTTTAAAGGTATTTTAAAAGGAACTTCTCATCTAAATCCCTTTTCAACCATCCAATTAACAGACTATCCGTTAATCAAAACATTATACTAGAAACTGTATACACATATATCTTAAATGTATTCAATCAAGGATACATTTGAGACACACCCAGTATATCGAGGAGGAACGCGTGGAAACTCGATTTCGTGGAGAAATTCGAGTCCGGCTGAATGTATTAAATTACTGTTGATCTCACCTCCATATTTGATTTTATCCAGCTGCTCGGTGAATATTCGAAGCTCTGGATTCGAGAGGTCTCCAACCTGAAAGGTAACCAGCATCGGTTATATCTATCGAGTATCGCTTACTTCGATCGTGTTACGTTCCTCGATCTTTCGCAAAACGAAAGGCGTGGGGAAGCATGAACGATTTTATTAGCCAGATTAGTAGTACCTGGAGAAGAAGAGACAACGCCACGATCCCCTGTGCCCGTTGTAACGCATCCGAGAAGTTGTTGTAGAGTTGCGAGTTGAAGCCGAATATTTGCAACTGTTTCGAAACAAAAATTAAATGAACGAATTAGTTGTGGTGAATGACGCGAATGAATAAGTAAAAGTGAGATACAGAAAATATTGATGGTGTACTTAATTAACAATTTCAATTGTGAATCGTTGAAATGAATAATTTGAATAACTTGTGAAATGTTTTTCTATTTTTTTTTTATGCTACGTCGATTTAAAGTGTAATTCAAAATATGAATAGTATAAAAAGTAAATAAAATGGTAAATTGAGACTAAGTTTTCAAGTAGTTTATGGTATAAATAGTCAGACATATAGTAGTGGAAAAGTAAGTAATGGGATGAATATTTGAAATATTTTAAAACATCAAAAAGTGAATGGTTTAAGGAACTTTTTAATCAATTTTTAAATATGAATGATCTGATATTTGAGATATAATGAAATTTTAGTGAGTTAGCTTGAAAAATGGGAAAGATATTGGGAAAAATGAATAATGATGAAGTTTTTCTTTTTTCTTCCAAAGTTTCATCTGTAAATAACACGATAGAATTATTCTATAATTCCATTCGAAAATAACAAAGTAATACATTTAATATAACAAAACTTTCAAGTTTAGTTTGAGGCGTGAATAATTTAATCGAGCTTTTGTGTCATTTATAATACAAATTGAATAACAGATTATTACGAGCCACGGGTATCGATTCCTAACTTTCATTAAATCATTTCATTAAAATAATAAAATAAAATGATAAAGTGCTCAAATATTTAAATCCTCAAAGGAATATTCAGCTTAATAGATGATGCGTATAACTCTGTCAGATTAAATAGTAAAAGCTGTCTTTAAGAGGATCCATTCTACTTAAATCTGAAGCGATGAAATCGTTAACTGCTGATGAATTTCTAACGAGAAAATGATCGTATTAATAAAAGTCAGTGAAAACACCAAGTTTTTTCAAACACCAAGTTTTCATCAATAATTTTTAAAATAAATCTACCAAGATTTCGCTTTTATCTTCTCGAATAGAATTATATATATTTTTTACACGTTTTATATTACGTTAATTAATTACGTAATTCTTTTAAAATTAATAAGAAAACTTTTCAAAAAACGATCCTGACATTTTTCAAATATCTCCATTTCCATGCATCGAAATTCAAAACCATTCATTGTTGCGTTTTATAAAATTTTATTTCGTATCTAATCGCTCTAAAAAAGTACAAATAATACCTCGATTCACGGTTATCACAAATTTCCCCCCCCTCCATCGTCCAATAAATATTATACTCTTTCCGGATTATCGATCCATCGACTTTTCGAAACGTTCGATACATTTTTTATTCGTTCCTTGCTACAAGGGACATTCTTCATAACAAAAACAAATTTTATCGTTTCGACAATTGATCTCGCCCAGTTGCCTCGAGCAGCGTTTTCGAAACGTTTTTTCCGCCGGCGAAATAACAATAAAACTTTTCGAAAAATTCTCTCGATGTACGATTTTTCGACAACAAATTTCCAAATAATAATAAAAAAAAAAAAAATAATTCCCGCGACCCGATAACAAGGCCAAATTTTCGCGCGCAAAAATAAAAATAAAAATAATAATAATAATAACAAAAAGAAAGAAAGAAATTCGGAAAAGGAGCACGCGAGGCATCACGCGAATAAACGCGGTATATATTGGGAAAGTTTCATAATTTTTTCAAATTCCGTGTCGGCCAACTTTTCCCCGTCGATGTAGAGGACTGGCAAACTGTTAAAAGCTATACGTTTTCGCGGGTTGCACGTATATCGCGATTGTATACTGGTAACCCAGTTCGCTAGTTCTGACCCAGTTCGAAGATTAATACTTCGAACGAGGAACGGGAGTGAAAAAAAAAAAAAAGAGAGAGGAGAAAGAGAAAAAGAGAGAGAGAAGAAAAGAAAAGAAAGAAAGAAGAGGAGGAGGAGGGGGAAAAAAAAAAAAGAAAAAAAAATAGAAGACGTGCTTTCACGTTAATCAGTTTCAGTTACGTGATCAAGTGAATAAAAGTCGTTCGTAATCGACGAGTGTAAGAATCTGGATAGACGGTTCGGATACGTATCGCGGATGATCGATAATCGGATGTCTGGTGGGGCTAGGCCTTCGATAGAAACTGATAGCCTCGGCCACTCGATCCATGGATTACCGAAGTTAAGTTGGATAGAGCGAAGTAGTTAACGTCGGTTCGAGTTTTTTCAAGGCAACATTCGTTCCCTTCTTTTATTCCCGTGTTGTTTTCTATCTCTTCGAAATTGAATCGCTCTACTGTTTATATAATTTAATAAAACTGTTGTTCGCTTAAAATATACACGTGTGTGTGTGTGTGTGTGTAAAAAAATTTTTATCGCTGAAAAATTGGAGAAAGTATATTTTTGAAAAATATAGATATAAATACGGATTTAACTAACGGGATCTTTGTTATGTGGGAGATTTTTCACGGGAACTTTTGTTATTATACGACTTTATGAATAATGTGTGATAATATGTATTTTAATATTTGCATATTTGGATTTTTTCCTATTAATTTTTACTTTATTAGCTCTTTTAAAAATTAGTTGTTTTTCCATTTGTACTATTTCTATTTCTGAATCTTTTATATATTTTTTTTTTTTTACTACAAGATTCGTTAATGAAACGAAATTAAAAAAAGAAAAAAAAATAAATATCAAAATATTTTATATCTCGTAAAATCATAGAAATCGTAGAAATTTTGCATTAGTAATTACAACGTAGTATTGGCGTTTATCGCTTGCATTATTAAATTATTGACGTAACTCATCCACTATTAATGATAATAATAATAATAATAATAATAATGAATTGATGGTCTCATTAACCGTAACAAAATTCATAAATTATATCTCTATACAGGATTAGTGAACTTCATTATATGGCATACCATGAAGAGATTCGAATTAGAATTTGAATTTAAATTTAAAATATAATGCAAATTATATTTAAATAAAACTCGAAAACACGAATAATTAGTAATGTGCCGGCACTATCGCTACATCATCAATATATATCATTATCCCATTCAGTCTATGCCCTGTTCATGCTATTTGCCATGTTACGTCTAATCCAATTAGATGTGACAGTTCTAATCAATAACGAAAATTCACGTACATTATCGATTATGTCAGATGGGGGAAAACTTGGCGTATTAATTATGATAGCCCAATTTCTTATCTATCAATTATTTTTAACTAACAATTTATTAAATGATCCGACAATAACAAATATTCATTGCATAATTCCATAAAAGCTCGAAGAAAAATCTTAGTAGCGCAAAAAGTAGTACAACCAAATCATAATTCAGACGTTTTCTATCGTTAAAGAATTTCTAAGATTTTAACGAGATAAATTTTATTTTATTTTGGAAAAAGAAAAAGATTGTAAAAGATTGTAAGAGAAAAAGATTGGATGTACGATCGTAAAAATCGGTCATGAAAATTGAAAAATATTTTTTAAAAGAATTTAAAACAATAATTAAACAATTCGACAAATTGTTCCCCTTTCGTGATACATTTAAAAGGAAAATTTAGCGCACAGAGGACAAATTTAAAAAAAAAATAAATATTTCTACTACTTTTCTTCACGCAACTCAAATGAAACCGATCAACAAACACACGTACGATACAACATCGTTGCATGATCGCTAATCGCATCGCAACGGTTGCTATGGCAACTTTATCTTATCTTATCTCGCTACGATATTTCATACATTGATATTAAATATAATTTTACGCACTCACCTCCGCGGGAAACGCGTGTCCGTCCACGGTGTGCTCGCTACCGGTCCGATCATCCAACCCAAAATGCAAATGTATTTCGTGGAACTGATACCGATAACTCAACGGGCCACCAGATATGTTGACCGGATGGCGCGTGTCATTGTCCACGGCGAAAACTACGCTGTGGCCAGTGTTCGCCAGCACACCACCTACCCTGTGCTTGTCCACGTGAAGGGGTTGCAGGTTCGGGTCGAAGAGGAGCCTGGACGGTTCCAGGTTCACCGGCGATTGACGTCTGCCCTTGTGGCACAGCCACCAATCCGGATTGATGAGACCCCAGAACCCGGGACCTTCGAATCGATTAAACGACACGTCGAACGCGATTTTCGAGCATCGATTACGCGACTTTAATCGGAAAGAATTTCGAAAATACTTAACAGGGCTACAGATAAAGAGGAAGAGTGAAATTATTTGTTGAGGAGAGTTCTTTGGAGAGGGTGGTGTGGAATCGGTGAAAAATTGGATTTGGAAAAATTGTTTGGAAACATTGGAAGGAAGATAATTTATATGGAACGAGTCAATATTTATAAGAAGAAATATGTGATTCGTCATGTTTTGGAAAGTTTGGGCAAGTATCTAGACATCTTCATAGTGTCTTTTGTTCGAAAATATTGAAAGATACGTAACTCTCTCTATAAAATAAATGGATGCAAAAAAAAATAGAATAAAAATAATGCGGATAGATAATTATATTAATTACTTTATTCGATAAAAGAATTCCTGTATTTGGAAACTAGAACTTCTAATTTCCAAACTTGTACGAAAAATAATCTAAATGAAACGATCATTTACAAATTTTGAAATAAAAAGGAAACACGTCAAATATTTAAAAATGAAATAACTTTACGATTAAAAACCGTGAATGAACATGAATATATGGAGAAAGAATGTTTAAAAAGTGATTCACGAAAAGAGGACGATTGATAAAACAACAGGAAACTAGAAATTAATATTTCGATTAATTGACACGAGTATGGAATCCCTTACCGGAAATACCGTCATAGGTCCACCATTCCTCCCAGCTGACGGGCCTAGATTCTGCAAATAGTTCATTATCAAGAATCCGCACGATGTCACTTATGCGACAGCAGTCCTTAACCTAGAACTAGTTGCAGCGAGTCGAGTGGCAAGGATATTCGGCCACACTCCACCGAATAACGAGCCACTCGTCTCAATTATACACTTTCTTGCTATAGTCTGTCTCGAGTCAATTGTCCGCTTCAAGGTCACTTCAACAACGGCTCTCTTTAACTATTTCTTCTTTTTTTTTTTTTTCTTCAAGCTTGCTATCACAGTTCTCAGACATGTTTTCCATACAAAGTACACGTCTAGGAATTTCCGTCCCGATGGAAATGAGCTAAAAATACAAGGAGACGATCAAGGATAGCGTTAACAAAGGAAAGAAGGAATTTTTGAAATTTTCCATTTCCCTTATTTCCTGTTTTTCCAACAACGATTATTTTTGTGCGAATCAAACGACGAAGATCGCGACAGATTTTCCAATTATCTTCTTGACCTTGAGACGTCAATTAACGCCAACTATAGCATTCGTTATATAATCGACACGTGTTCATATCGATTTAAAGGGGAGACCAAAGCACGATAAAATTCCGTGTCGTAAATTAATTATTAAAATTATTCACCGATGGATTCGTTCTCGAAGAAAGAAAGATCGAGGTTAAGAACTACTTTGGACGCAAGAGTGAAAAAAAAAAAAAAAATACACACGATGACCCTTGGTGTACCTTGTATAAGGACGATCACGAACACTCCCCAGACGCCCAGGAAGACGGAACTGAATGGGGCCATTCCTAGGACTGCGCGGTCTTCGTCAATTGGGCATCATTCGGCTCGATTCTGCGGGGCAAAAGAGAGAGGGGACACGATACCGGTCGATCGTCAACAAATTACGTACAATTATTATCGCACGAATCGTTCCTCCCACGTGACGGTGATGATCTCAACCTCTGTTTCTATCATATCTCTTCCTCGTGACCCTCGAGAATCGTGGAAGATCGATCGAAAGCGAGACGAGACGACTCCACTCGAAACGAAAGCAACGAACTTTCCGCCGGGGGAGGAGAAGGTATCCTGTCCCTCGGCTAGGAACGATAAGAACGAGACCACGATTCGATCGATCCGACCGAACGGGGATGTCTTTGGACTTTTAATTAGCCATCGTCACGCGACCGATTCGAGAAAGCCGGCCTAACGACGAGGGGAGGGGGCGCGTGTCGTGGGCGATAAGAGGTCGCGAGGTTCTCTCCACCCACGAGACGAGAAAGAAAAGACAAATCTGCAGTCATCGTCGTTGTCGCGTGGCAGGGGGGGAAGAGGATGCTCGAAAGGGGATCGTGAGATTCTCTCGCTCGAATATCTTCCCTTCCCCCACTCCGGTGGCCCATTCTGTGTTAGAGCCCACTCCACCCCGTTCCAACGCCACTCTACACCAGGCCTGTGTTCTTAGGTCAGGAAAACTCGAGTAGAGGCTCCCTTCGAAAGTCGTCGATCGATCGATTCGATCTCGCTCTCCTCTCCGATCCACGACGAGTGTCTCTAACCTACAACCAGAACTTCCACCAGCCGGAAAGATAAGAGGCACTCGGCAAGTGCGATGACTCGGCTCTCATTGGGATATGCCTCTCGTTTTTCTTTCCCCTTTCCCGGGGAACGTCCAAAAAAACCGTCGTTTCCTTCCACGATTATGATCGATGCTCGTCAAAATGTTTCGTTTTCTACATTATCGATCGATACGTTTCACAGGTGAAACACCTTTTGCCCTGGGTTGTAATCTCTGGTATATTCCTCTCTCCGTCTCGCTCGAATTAATTTTTTCTTCTATCTCTCTCTCTGTCTCCCGTTCGAATATTCCTACTATCTCGAGCGATACTTGTAAATAATGCTCCTATTTCCACCTCTGCTCGTGGGGTAGCATAGTTTGAACGGGCAATCGATGCGTTCGTCGAGCATCATGGCGTACCTCATCTGCACTTGTTATTCCATCGTTTGTTGGAATTTTTATAACCTCTACGAGACGAGATTCGGTATCTGCTGGGAGTCGCATTAGCGAGGGCGTACGCGACGAAACGTTACTTGCTGCAACTCTTTGCCGGAGGGCCATGTAAAGTAATGGATATCCGTGCACCAAGCGTCTTTGACGTTATGTTTCGTGGATAGAATCAAAGCGTGCACATTCTTTATGCGACTCTTCGTAGATAGAGTTCACGTAAGTGTTCAGATGAAGGATGTGCTCAAATATTATTGTGTTCAAGAAGATAACTTTATCGATGTTCTTCCCTTATAATATAATATATTAAAATAATCCGAGTAGAATAATGCTTGTTCAGTATCCGCTAAATTACGATCCATCGATTTTCAAAAATATCAAAGAGAACGTTTATGTTTTATCTTGTTCATTGAATTAGAATTATATTTAAATATTTTTCGAATAAGGCATTCATGAATATTTAAAACTGTAGTTTGATTTAATTTCTCGATTCTAAATTTTCGTAATTAATTCGAGCAACGTTAAAATTTAATAATAAAATAACAATTTAATTACTCTCGATTCTTTGAAATATTAAAATTTATTCTTCAATAAATCATTCGTACATGCTTTTCTTCTTTTAAAAAATCTCAAAATTGCATCATTCATTCATATCAGTCTTTAATTAACTTAGGGTATATCTATAATGTATTCGTTTTAAATGTCAAATATTTTTCTCTTTTTTTTTTTTTTTATCCATACTCGAGATGAAATACAATATTTTTTTCAAAACCGACTGGAATTTTGCATTAACGGATCGTTGAAGAACGTTCTCACTAAACTCGTAAAATGAGTCTTTGATGTTAGGTATCCAAGTGGGTAAACAACATGTCAGATTTCTGTAATAATGGAGAAGGTATAGAAGACACTGTGTTTTATGGATTAGTGTTAACTTTCATTTTAGATTTATATCACTACCACATTCTCATTTTATCCGTTTGTCTCTCCTTATTTTGTTTTCTCTCAAAATACCTTTCTTTAAATGTACATATTTTTTGAAGATACTTTCTTTTTGTTAACTTTTTTCAAATATACTTTTTTCAAAATATTTGAAAAATATTATATTTAGGATTTTCTTCTGGACGTTTTTCATTGAGAATTGATCAAATATAATCGTGATAAAGATCACTAATATAGAAGATATTGAATTATATAAATTGAAGATAGTTAACAAGGCATTACTGCATCGAGTATTTCCTGAAGTTTGTAGACTCATAAAATTATCACAGTATATATATATATCCTCTGAGAGTATCATACCAGCTACTGAAGATAGTACTCCAAACTTTAAATTTTATTATATATAATATAATCATTAAAAGTATCGAATGAAAAGTTGAAAGTATGTATTCCATTTAATACTAAAAAAGAAAATCTCTTAAGGAAGAAAAAATAATTATTCTTTAAAATTTTTCTCCTTTCTCAATTTTCGTTTTTATCATATCATGGAAAGAAATAAAATGAATATGATGTGACCTAAAAGAAATAGCGAATATAATAAATAATCATTTAATAGAGATATTATATGAATTAATATAATAATAGTCAAAATTCTAAAAATTATTAAAAGCTGTATACATATTCACAGAATATTTGTAATATCATAATATTACATATATCTTATAGAATATTTATAGAATATTTAGTTACCAGTTTGAAGATAAGCGAAATAGAGCATCTGTTTCGACCAACGACCATTAGTCGTTTATGAATAAAGTGGGATTACGAATGCTACATTCCTTCAGGATAAACGACACAGATAAACGATACAGCAAAGTCATCATATCAATTAGTTTAAATAATCACGTTTCGTTGATGATGAAACACGAACAAACAAAAATTTATAACTTTAATTAAATTTTTAAATAAATATATTTAATTGAAACGAAATTTAATATTCGTACTCTAAATTTCCTTTTTTCGTTTTCAATTCTTTTTTTTTTTTTTGAAATTACAATTACTATTCACTATATTTTATTTTATTTCATTCCATCGTGTTTATCTATCGTTGACCAATTTTTAAAATTCGATCAAGTACGAAAGAAAATCTTTATTATCCCGTTTCTTTAATTTCGTATGAAAGTTTTTTCTTAACAGTCTTTTCTACTTAAAACATCATTAATTATAAATTATTAATCATTTATTTCATCGATTCTAAAACAAAACACGAATAACCCAAAAAATAATAATAATATCTCTATATAATAATTATTCAATACCATTAATTTACAATCTCGTTACAATCAATATTACGCGTTAAAATATCGAATATCATATTTTGTTTAAATAAATTAATCGTAACTACACGTTCCTATACCTTTTGACATATCTCGTATCGGAAATGAATCAAGCGGAACGAAACAGGGATTGGGATTCGAGCGTCTCTTGCTTCATCTTTAATTAGACCCTATCGGATCACGACTGATCCCGTTGGATTTATTACAAAGACCCTATGATAGTCGACGGAGTTTAATCGAGCGAGCCTCTCCTCTCGTTCGATTGCGCCTCTCCAACACAATTATCAACTCTATGGATTTTTGTGGTGCCTCGTTGGGAGCTCGATTCACGCTCGAAATGCTACCACCACCGGCTTTAATTCGTTGGGGATACCCGTTATCCGAAGAGCGCAGAGAGAGAGAGAGAGAGAGAGAGAAAAAAAAAACACTGAAGACCCTTTTTAACCCGTGTG